CACACACTCTCACACACACACACACACACTCACTCACACACACACACACATGAAATATCTTTCTTATATGGGGCATGTAAAAACTGTTTCATAGAAAATAGAAAGGAAATAACTAAGACCTGTGGTTGGACAGATAGGAGAGAAAGATTGATCAAAAGAGACAAAGTTTCAGTTAAACTGGAGCACTGGATTTTACTGTATGATGAACACAATTAATGATAAGGTAGTGTATATTAAGTTGTTCATAAAAATAGACTTAAGTTTCTTACCACCAAACAAAAAGAAAATTTGGCAAAGTAATGTATACAAATCTTCCTACAATGAATGCATAAAACATCCCATTTTATCCCATAAGAATAAATTTATTATCACTTTTAAGTATTTTTTAAAAATAAATTAGGAAGAATGTGGGCAATATTACCATTGCCATATTTTGAATTAGAAACTAAGGAAGAAACATTTAAGCATCATGTTCAAGATTCAGCAGGTGAAGTAAACTAAAAGCGGGGGCCCTAACAATGTTTATGTTGGCTTACATGCCTGTATATGATGACCCAGTCACTAGCACATACCACTGAAACACAGACATGTTTTAAAAGTCAGTTTTTCTAACTTTTCAACTTTTATTCACCACATTAAGACTAAAATATGAGATTTGTCAAAAAATATTAAATCTGACGGGTGTGGCCTTTACTTTCTCCCTTTTCTGTTTATTTCTGTGATGGGGATGCCAAATGTAACATAAGAGACTAAAGTGGTGGGCAGTGGGGTACACACCTTTAATCCCAGAAGGCAGAGGCAGGCAGATCTCTGTGAGTTCAAAACCAGCCTGGTCTAGGACAGCTAGGATGTAACCCTGCAAACCAGAGAGAGAGAGGCTAAAGGGGACATCAGATGAGAGAAGAAAGTACAGGAAGGGACAGGATGAGTCAGACATTCACCATCAGAGTCTCCCTGGATTGAATAGGAGGATTTCCAGTCTGACTTGACTCAGAGAATGAACCATAAACTGTTTTTGAAGGATCTTTGTTTTATGGTTTTTGAGACAATGCAGAAATTCAGATGGGTGCTGAACGTTCTTTCTTAGCTCAGGTCCCAGTGACCTGCTTTTATTGAGTGGAGAGGAATGCTGTGTAATTACCATGGCAGCTACTTGTAAACTGGAATGTGTAAAATGCTTGAGAGCCTCTACACCCACCCTTTATTATTTGAAGTTGTTCTCAAAGAAATCATGTTTGTGCTTGTTGTTTGAACCTTAGCCAAGAAAGTCCCGTGGAACAGAGGTGAATTCTGTTTGCTCTAAAAGGATTATAAATGCTGATTTTTTTAATAGAACACTAATAAGATTATTTTATGTTACTACTATTTTGTTTCCAAATAAAGAACATTAGAAGGGCAAATCCTTTTGTTGAAATTTTAAGAGTCTGTAGAAAAGACCAAAGTGGGATTCAGCTGCCAAGTTTTCACCGTGCAAGCCCTTTCCTGGGTCAGACTCTTCCTGTAATGGGCATCTTCTGTGTCAATCCCCAGGAAAGATTCCCTCCTTCCACTCCACATCACGGAGGAGTTGACTGCCATCTCTTGGTTACAAGTGATGGAACCCAACTAAAAAACACTTTAAAAAGAGGAGGCTGTACTCACGGACTCTCATAACCAAATCCTAGGGAGCCAAATGTGGAGTTGGCTGCTGGATCCATGGGATCAATAAATGGAAGACTATCATGCTTTCCCTCTTCCTCCTTCTCTTCTCTTCTCTTTTACACACACTCACACACACACACACACACACACACACACACACACACACACACACACACACACACACACACACATACACTTGTATATACATACATACACCTAAACATACACACATACACAATCACACTCAAACTCATGCACACATATACACATACATACAATACATACAAACATATAAACACACACATACACCTTTACATACACATACAGAAACACACATAAACTTGTATACACATACATATATACACATAAACCTCATACGTGTAAATACACACATAAATACACATACATACACATATGTACATACACATATATGTATACATAAACACAAAGAGACACATATATAAACACACACATGCACCTATACTATACACACACATGCACCTATACTGTACACACACATACACCTATACATACACATAAACAAACACAAACATACAAACTCATATATACAGACATACACATAAACCATATACATGTATATACACACATAGGCACATACATAGGCGTACACACATGTTTTTACACACATAGATACATATAAATACATCTCAGAAAGATGAAAACCTCAGGAATCCACTAAAGCATCCCATTTCTTCCTTGTGCGACTGGGGTTTTTATCTCCTGTTTCTGATAAATGTGAAGCCTCAGTAAATTCAGATACAGGAAGCCTAGGAAATGCATTCTCTAAAAGTAAAACATGAATATGAACCTTGTTTAGATCCTGATTTAACAAACTGATGCAAAATATTTAGTGACAGTAAGAAATTGTAGTTAGTTTTTAGGTCATTGTTATTATTGATATTTTAAAAAGTCCCATGTGTACTAAAATACTTGCAGATGAAACTATATGTGTGGGAACTTGCTTTTTTAAAAAAATGATATAATTTTATTTTATTTATTTATTATGTATACAACATTCTGCTTCCATGCGTATCTGCACACCAGAAGAGGGCACCAGATCTCATAACAGGTGGTTGTGAACCACCATGTGGTTGCTGGAAATTGAGCTCAGGACCTCTGGAAGAGTAGTCGGTGCTCTTAACCTCTGAGCCATCTCTCCAACCCTGGGAACTTGCTTTTAAATAATTCAGTATTAAGCGTGGGGAACTGCCAAGGGAGGATATAGACAAAACAGGTGGCCTGAGCCGAAGTTGGCACCACGTGTGCATAAACAGTGGTTCACTTTATAACTCTATCTACTTCAACATATATTTAAATTTTCCTCAACTGGAGCTCATTTCAAAGAAGATTCTGAAAGTTGTAATTCAAACCAAAGCCACTGTTAGAAATACATAACTGATATCTTTTCTAGTAAGTGGGTCTTCCCTGCACATGTATCTGCTCCGGGAATCTTGAAAGTCCCAGCTGGTCCTCAGAGGCCCCGCTCCTCTGAAGGGAAGTCAGCGGTTCCAGGATGCCACCTGGGCCCTCAGCGATGGGAGCTATGGGGTGGGGAGGGAGGGTGGAGCTATGGGGAGTTTACCACTTGGATTATCCCACCAAACTGGGTACAGAGTTACCATGAAGTGACACACAGTACACAAGCAGGCACCCCAACAAACACATGGAGTAAATATAAGTTTAAAAGAAAATCTGGAAAGAGAAGTGTTCTGAAGGTGTATTTGGAGCTTCAGAGGGGGAAACAGGCTAGAGCTGTACATTTTTGCAATGCAGCCTGGTAGAAGTTCCTGGTCCACAGCTATGTTTGTAGTTCCTTCCTTCCTTCCTCCCCAGTCTCTTTCTCTTAGATGCTCACGTGCTCCATTTCCGAGAGGATGGATGCTTACTGTATGTACATGCTGGCTTTGAACGTTGATGCACGGATGGCAAACTCCTCTCTCTCTCTCTCGAATTATTCTGCCATTAGAAATAAGGCAGGAACAAGGAGGGCAACCCTTCCTCTCGGGCTTTACTGCAATCACAAAGCCCCGTGGAAAGTTGCTAAGGATTTCTTTACTGTGTGATCATAACAGGAGGATGCTGTGGAAATACGTCCAGTGCCGGAATGTCCCAAGGAACATCTGGGCAACAGAATACTGGTCAAAGTGCTGACTCTGAAGTGAGTACCAAACACACTGTACTGATGTCCACCTTGCTTTTTAGATAAAACTATGCCAGAATCATCAGCCCTCCTCGGGAAGATTCTCCCAGCATCTTTTCAGTAGAAGGGAGCATTGAGCTAATAGAAAGAGTAGAGCGTAGAGTTGACTAGATCTGGATTCTATTTGTGCCAAACCTTTAACAACCAATTTTCTATGATATGTAGCAAACGCAGGTGTCTAGAAAAGTTAGGCATAGAAGGTAATTGTTAATTTTCCTAGATTAAGAAAAACAACTATAGGTTGGAGCTGTAACTAGGTGGTAGAGTACTTTCCTGGCATGTGTAAATTTGAGCTCCTCAGTTTGATCCCTGTCTTAAGTTGGGTTACTGTGGCTTTGATGAAACACCGCAACCAAAAGCAAATTGACAAGGAAGGGATTTATTTGGTTTATGCTTCCACATCTATAGTCCATCACTGAAGAAGTCAGGGAAGGAACACAAACAGGGCGGGATCATAGAGGCAGGGGCTGATGCAGAGGCCACAGAGGAGTGCTGCTCACCAGCTTGCTCTCCATGATTTGCTTGGCCTTCTTTCCAGGACCACCTGCCAAGGGGTGGCCTCAACCATGACGTGCTGGGCCCTCCCCCATCAATCACTAATTAAGAAAATGCTCTACAGACTTGCCTGCAGCCCAATCTTAGGAAGACATTTTCTCAGTTTGGGTTCCCTCCTTTCAGTCTTTGTCAAGTTGACATAAAATTAGCCAGCACAATTCCCTAACACCACAATAAATGAAGCCAGCAGTGCTCCAGAATCAGTTCATGTTTGCTCATAAACTCTTGACAATGCACGCACACGCACGTGCACACACACACACACACACACACACACACACACACACACACATAAAATTAAAATTAAATTATTTTAATTTATTAAAATATTAAAATATTAAATATTGACATATTAAAATATTGTCTTCATTATAAAATGTACGTAAGTGAGAAAATGTAAAGAATGAAGTAAGTGAAATACGGTATTACTTCCTTCATGCACCCCAGCACATTGCTGTGTGCTCCCCAAGAGTGCCTGCAAGCTGCTCTTCCTCCCTGCAGACTTTAGAGATGAGCTTTTCTACTTCTCACATCACAGGCCTTTTTGTAAATATGGGAGGTATTTACCTCAGTGGTAGACAATGTCCTTAGCATATGCAAGGCCCTGGTTTCCTGCTGAGGAGAGTACATAAGCCAAGCATTTTTCACACACAGTAAGGCCATCTATCTCATAGTCAACGTGAGGCTCACTTCCATAGTTCCCAGTTTGTAAATGGACATTGGGATTCTGTGTTTCCACCCCGTCATCTTCTCTGGGAATTTGGTTCTTTCTTTAAAAAATGAAGCTATTAGACCAGGTGACCTACCCTGTGATTCTGATGTTTCGTCTCTCGGGTTCTGTCCCTCGGCTCATGCACTGATTGACCAGTGCTGGCTTTGTTGTATCCCCTTTCACTTTAGCCAATTCCTCGGGGTGGGTGTCAGAGCCTTTTGTCTGCACATTCACCCCCATGGTATACTTGTGTTCAGGAAGTCTGCACTACTCTCTGCCACACTCACCCCCACGATACACTCAGTCATGCTATACTTTTAGATGCTGTGAGTTTGTCTCTGGGACTAGAGGAACTTCCTCCAAGGACGATTGTCACCAAGTCTTCCAGACCTATCTAGTACATAAACCACAGCAGCTGTTCTGACAGGTTGGGAAACTTGTCCTGCTGAGCTAGACATGAATTATTTAAAAAACATGGAGTCACTTGAGTTTCTTTAATGAGAATTTTCAAGCCAGTTTCTAATGATGTTTTCCCAGGTCCTAAAGGAGAAATTAAATAGATTAGGTAGAACTGATATGAGTAGCCAATGTCCTTGGCCTGTTCAAGTGATTTAAGTGGCGTTCATATTTGTACACCCTTGAGAGAAGAGACAAATCAAAGAAATGATCCTAACTATAAACTGGATTTTAAAAAAGAAATTTTAAATTTGAAAGTATGAATAGTAAAACTAACAACAGTATAGAAGACACTTTACCATTGATGTTGATATGTGAAATTCTGTCTACAATACCATGGAGTTTATTAGCTAGGAAATTTCTAAAAAAGTTTTCATCTCTGTCATCATTCCCACTTTCCTTTTGGAAGCAGATAAAGCCTCAAGGACAGAGAAAAGAGAATTGCAGTGGTGTCAATTCTGCAAATTCTGAGTAGCAAGAAAAAAAGTGACTATGGAATATTTTTCTGTTTTGTATTTTGATGTTTTTCTGTCATCTTAGCGACTGCACATGAATCTACTGATATTTTAATTATCATCTGCCACCCCATGGCCCCTCTGTCAGCGCCTTGCAGGCCACTCAGGCTGAGGCCTGGAAGGGCTTTTGTCCTGCAGCCCTGGCTTTGCTGTGACCATAATTTGTAGGTTTAAATTAAGTGTCTATCATTCTACTTATGAATAGACTCAGAAGTCAAAGGCTGGGGTGAAAACCTGCTAGCTCTGAGAGGCTAAGTAGCAACTAGCTGACCTTGCTTTTTGGCCAGAGGCACTGAAAAAACACATCTCTTTCCTCATCCCCAAAACCAAGAGGAAGCTCTCCACCATTTCCTTCCTGTTTGTCTTCTCTATCCAAATTTCTGGCTTTTCTATGACCAATTCTGGTTAGCCAGTTGCTGGCTCTGCCCCCTGATTCAAGGTTTAACTTTATTGGGCAGTCTTGGGAGTGTCAGAGTTTGATCAAAGTATCCCACAACAGTATTTCAGGCAGGGGAATCTTTTAGTTTAAAATTTAATACCCTCATACACAAAGTGACCTCCATTCAGAGGACTCTCTTTGGCATCAGAACATTAATGTACACTGAATACTGTCAGGGAGTGGTCTTAATGCAGGCCTCCCATAGCCATCTCCCAGAAGGGATTCTGCTTCAGCAGGTCCCGGAGGGACCCAGAACTCCTGCATGGTTGCCTCAGATACTGGTGTCTGAGGACCACACCTGGAAAAACAATGCAGGAAAAGTATCCCTCAGATACTGGTGTCTGAGGACCACACCTGGAAAAACAATGCAGGAAAAGCCTTTGCCTTGCAACCTGCCTCTGAAGTTCCTAGCTGGGTGAGCTTTGCCAGGTCACTTCATACCTCTGCACCTCCCTTCCCTGTAGAACAGGAGTGTGAAGAGGAAAGGGGCTGGCATGTGTGAGGAGCACTCTCCCCTGGACCACAAGAACCTAACACTCAGTACCCATCTAACTATCACACAGCAGTGCTCAGAACCTTAGCATATCACACAGTACATGGTTAAAATACAGGAGGTATGGAGAACCACCGCACAGCAAACCCTCAATTAAAGTTCTATTTGCTGCCTGGCATGTGGGCTCAGCTTGTAATCCCAGCACTAAAAAGACAAAGGCAGGGGGATCACACTAGTCTCTAGTGCCAGCCTGAGCTACAAAACAAAACCCCCATCTCAAAAAACTGAAAAAAGGAAAAAAATGCTATTTTTCTGACAAGAGAAAGAATGATAATAGGTATTTGCAGTGTGTGCGACCAATGTAAGTAACAAAATCCACCATTTTTGATGTGTAGTTCAGTGGTGTTGAGTGCAAGATTGTTGTACAACCATCACCATCCATGCACAGAGTAAGAGGCTAATGGAGTAAGGGGTTGTGATTTCTAAGAAGGGAGAAGGGGTGTTAGTACATAAAACTACATTTGTGTGGCTGGTTAAGCTAGAAGCTTATAATTGATAAATGTAGAAAAAAGGGGAAGAGACACTGTAGCTTTGTGCTTTCTGCGCACTGGCTTTTGCTTTAGCTTTCAAGGGTGGCTGGGAATACAGTGTCACAGTAGCCATGGCAACTGACCTCAGCTGGAGAAGGAAACTGGGTGGCATTTGATCCATATTAGCATTTTCAGCAAATGTTCACTGGTTAAACGGGACTTTTCAGTGCTGTATCCAAGGGAAAAGCTAAGGCTATGTAGTATAAGATTCGGAGGCTGCTGCTTCCAGCCTCAGGGTAAGCAGTGGGGCGCTCTTTACTACTGATACCCGAATGAGAAGAAATTCTTTTCTCTGAGACCTTTTTGAGAAGACAAAGCATGCAGTATATATATTCTATATATCAAGATTACACAGCCAAATGAAGAGTCATCCTCTTTACTTCCCATAGATATATGTGCCCAGAAGATGGAATATTTTCATGAGATGAACACATACACACACACACACACACACACACACACACACACACACACACACACACACACGTGGGAATCACCCAAAGCTATTATTCATAGGGAAGAGATGAAGTGACTCGTGAGAGAAATTGCAGACAGGATCAACTGATTTCTACAGTCAGTGACTCCACAGCCTTGCCAGGTGGAGTTTGCTATCACTGTGTAGTAGGTTGGCCTGTTGAACATGAGTTATCCTACTGTATTTCTCGAGGCCTTTGGTACTTTTTAACTATCTAAAAAGTCTTATTCCTTAGAATTGAATAGTAGACCTTTGGAGCATTTTATTTATATTTTAATTATGTGTACATGTTGGGGAGGAGGGTATGTGCGTAAGAGGGCAGTTACCTGCAGAGTGGAGAAGAGGGTGTCAGATCTTCTGGAACTGTAATTATAGGAATTTGTGAGTTTCCTGTTGTTGATTCTGGAAATCAAACTAGGTGTCTCTACAGGAGCAGTGCTTGCTTTTAACTGCTGAGCCATCTTTCCATCTCCCAAATAGTGAGATTTAATATCAACACAAGCAAGTCCATTGCCTGTGAGATAGAGACTATTCTTTAAAGAAATAACAGCTACAATAGGAGTAAGTACTGTTGGGGCTGGGGTGTAGGTTCGTGGCAGACTACTTGTCTGGCATTTATGAGTCCCCAGCATGACGTGCATATGAAGTAGTGTTTTGGATTAGACCAGAATTCCATTCAACTCACTCTCTTGCTGTACCACCACCAAGCTCTCCACCATGACCTCAAATGATCTGGAATTTTCCATTGACTTCTCATAATTTCCCCATTAGTATCCTTGTGTCTCTCGCATTGGCGGGGTTATCCCTATGTTTCTGGAATCATGTTCACGTTTTTTAATGATTTTATATGTTCATGCACTTTTAGAACATTCACACTTATCCAGGCTAGAACCATATTGATTTTTCTCTCTCTCTCTGACAGGTTTGAGATTGAAATTGAGCCTCTGTTTGCCAGTATTGCCCTCTATGATGTTAAAGAAAGAAAAAAGGTATGAAAATAAAATCTTTGGGTTCATGTTTCAACCTCGCTTTTGTGTAGCAATAAAGCATATCAAGTGTGTGTGTTTGTGTGTAGGGGTGTGTGCTGCATGGGTGAGTGTGTATGTGTATTTGTGGGTGTGTACACATATATGTACGTGTGTGAGGCTGATCGTTGATGTGAGAACCACTCATCTGTCTCCAGTGTCTCATCCATGAATAGTTTTCCCTGTTACCCCAATTTTCTTATACTTTCTAGAACTTTAGAACTTCCATGGTGCTTCTGTACATGAGTGTAGTGGCTTAATTTGCTTTTACTCTAGTTTGTTGTGTGTTAGTTTTTCCCTCACCTTGATTGTAAACAGGCAGAGGCTGTGTTTTCCTCCTGTTCAAGGCAGTACCTTGCACATCACTAATACACAGGAAATATTGGTGAGTTAATAAAAATTATTTTCTCAAATGGCTCCAGGCTATATTGAAGTTGTAACAAAATACCAGACTTTCTAGCAGCCACTAGCCATACACCATATTCACAGTTGTGCTTCTTTGAGCAAATTTTCCCAGAGACTCTTCATGCTTGTAGCGATTTTAGACCAAGAACACAACAGTTCTAACTTACTGTTCCCTTTGCTGCTTATTTACAGATCTCGGAAAATTTCCACTGTGACCTGAACTCTGACCAGTTCAAAGGGTTCCTGCGAGCTCACACCCCCTCAGTCGACCCATCGAGTCAGGCGAGGTCTGCAGTGTTCTCAGTCACCTACCCATCCTCAGACATCTACCTGGTTGTCAAGGTAATTACACACCATCCAAGCAGCATGATCTGACATTGGTGTTGTCTGATTCAACAAAGCTGAAAGAAGCCACAAACAGGCCTGTGTGTCCTCTGTGATGTTTAGGTTGTTTTATTCTCAGCAATACTTCCCTTTCCACTAACTAGGGGTTGGAGGCCCTACAGTCCTTGGTTGTGGTCCTTATTGGGCAGTCAGAAACTGTATGGCCTGCTGTGACTCAGACTTTCTGAGACTGAGTTCGTCATCTGTGCTGTAAGGATGATGAGACTGACCTCCAGGAGTTGTCACAATTACAGATAAAGCCTGGCCCTTCCTAACTAAGGAGGTCACCTTCAGCTGTCCTGATGTGGAAGGTTGCCATGGTGAGAGGAACAAAAGCTCTCAGATAGTCTCACGGTGGTGTTAGCATGTTTCTCTAGGACCCACAGGACAGCAATCCCCAATCTAGCCTTGGATAGACAACTTGAGATGTGGCTGCACTTTCTGCCCTTCACTCTCTGTTATCACAGGGCATGTGTCCAGTGATCAAAATCTGTGGGTCCTTTATAAATAAGCTTCACAAAATAAATAGACTACACTTCACTGGAGACTGTCCATGGACGGAGATTTTCGAAGACCAGAGCTTTTTCTTTACGTGTTAAAGTCATTAGTTTGAATCTGACAGCAAACATTCAACAACCTCCAGCCAAATAAGTGCACTTAGTGACTCTCTAAGACAAAGATCTGTAAACAGTTCTAAACAGGTAAACACAGGTGTCTGATCTCATGAACCATCAGACTTCTTTGTTTGGGACATTTAACTTGGTATCCTGTACCTGTACCACTTGGATTCCCATGTGGTCTAATAGTAGTGGATTACAGATTCCAAACAATTCAGGTAACTTGGAGAGTACTTCCTTTATATTATTTCACAAGGATGACTAAAGCTTGAAAGGACCTGTTTAAAGTTCTGGAAGTTTAAAATCCATGGCTAGGACTGGAAGGCATACCTCAGGGATCTCAGATCTCGGTAGCACTAGCCTAACAGGTACCAGGTCCTGGATTTCATCTGTAAGAACTGAAAAGGAAAATAAAATTATAAAATAAATCTTTTGCTAAGAATTTGTATCTGTTGCTTCTCACTGTGGTGCTTAATTCAACACACAGGGAAGCTTAATTTCAGCTCTGACTGCCCTGTTGTTAAATATACAGTTCTCTCAATGTGCAATCAACAAAACCACACTAATTCTAGAGCTAATTGTATTTCCAACTCTCCTTGATTTTTATTAGCCTACAATAATTAACTAATAATAGAAATGTGTTGGTCCCTACCACTGTGTATACATTTCTAATTTTTTTAATGTAGAGGTGTACTGACTTGACAGTAACAAACACATTCTAAGGTGTCTGGATATAATTAAGAAATTTAGACCTACACTGGAAAGCATTTTCAGCTTGGTGCCTCTTTGTCTTCTAAGACCATTGTTATAGCTGCCTTCCCTCTGATTCATAGTAAGTGGTCTTGTAATGTTTAGTCAGCCCAGGTAGATGTTGTGTGATAAAGAAAGGGCTTCTCACTTTATTTTTTATTTTTGTTCCCAAGATGAACATCAAGATCTCAAATAGATAAGGTCACCTAGTTCAGCTCTCACATAAATTACTGTGAGGGATTCTTTCAGGCTGAAAAGCTTAGTTCAGGATTTTGAGTGCATGAAAGGATTTGTTCTACAAGTGAGAATGGGTGTGAAGCTCAAGCTTTATAAAAAATGCTTAAAATTGATAAGGTAGACATTAAACCTGTCTCTCCTGGTTTAATGAGTATACTAGAAAGTAGCCTCCTAACCTTACCACTCTCAGCTGTTCCTAATGTGCTCCTCTGCTCATGCCTACACACATGAGGATTCATATATTCTAGTTCATGCATGCTTACCCATCAGCCAGGAAGGACCATGTATGAGGTGCTCAAATCAAACTGAAGTTCTCCTTATAAAGTCACCCTGGTCCAGTGCAGCAAGAGGGATAGTAGTTCCTGGTCCCCTCAGATCTAGACTCTCTTGGTTCTAGATTATGAGCAGCCTTTCTTTGGGTTTCAAATAAAGCCAAGGCATGTCCATTCCTTGCTGTAGAGTCCCAACTGAAGATTTCTTACCCAAGCCCTTTTCTTCTTCCAATCTCTATTCTTTCTTTTCCCCATTCCTACCTTCCTTTATTCCCTTGGGGCTGGGTATGGACTTCATAGCCTTGTACATGGAAAGTAAGTGCTGTGCCACTGGGCTCCAATCCCAGTGGAGTCCAACCCTGAAAGAGTCTTAATCTCTACTCAAGATTTATTTTAAAAACCATGTGTTTTGTTGTTGTTGTTTCTGCTATTGTTATTTGGTTTGGTTTTTCGACACAGTGTTTCTCTGTGTAGCCTTGGCTGTCCTAGAACTTGTTCTGTAGACCAGGCTGACATTGAATTCATAGTGATCCACCTGCCTCTGCCTGCTGAGTGCTGGGATTAAAGGTGTGTTCTACTACCACCAGACAAGACCATGTTTTTGTTTTGTTGTTGTTGTTGTTGTTGTTGTTGCTGTTGAATTCACGGAAAAATTAACCTATCTTCAGTTTGTTCTGCAGAGTTTGGGGGGGAAAGGAGCCATGTTTATTGTGTTCATAGCTACTCCCCAGCAGCTACCACAATACACACTTTTTGAATGAATAATGATGGGATGAATGCTGGTGATCTGGAACATTGGTCAGTTTCTGACTCAAGCCCTTTCCGCCCATGTTTCCAGTGTGCTTCATTTCTCAGGGCCAACCTTCTCTTGTGCCACTGGCAATGGGATGAGCTTTTAAACCTCTTTTGTAAAAAGAGACTTTCTGCTGCGACAAACCCCTGAAGTCACTGTCCATTGAGCAGCTCTGTGCCACTTCTTTTGAAACACCATTGAACATACCTCCATCAGTAGGATATTCAGATTCAAGTAGTTTCTGCCTCACTTACAATGGTGTCTATTAAGAATGTGTGCCCATGGCCTATGTTGAACAGATTTCTTCTTCAGGAATCTAAACTAATGACGTGGGCTCATAGAGCTAAGTCTTAGCACCTAAGTTCACTTAGATTTTCTTTGAGTAAAGAATTAGAACATCTCAAAATTTCCCCCTTCTTTCCCCTAAATGTGGTGCCCATATTTATGACAATTGATTGTCAGCTCCTTAATGTGAGTCAAAATGGAAGTAGACGCTTGATAGGACCAGCACTCATTAGCAGAATAAGAAGACACACATCTCGAGCGGGGGTGGTGGTGCACACCTTTAATCCCAGCACTCGGGAGGCAGAGGCAGGTGTATCTCTGTGAGTTGGAGACCAGCCTGCTCTACAAGAGCTAGTTCCAGGACAGCCTCCAAAACTACAGAGAAACCCTGTCTTTGAAAACAAACAAACAAACAAACAAAAGAAAACACACATTTTAAGGCATTTCCTTCTGTCTATCAAATCTAGAGAAGCAGCCCTAACAGGAAATACAAGGAGCACAATTATAGATGATTTATTCTGTTCATTTATTCATTTTGTGGAATGTTTTAGTTCCCAGCCTGGCTTTTACAGAGACCATATCTCTTTTATACTTTGTAAGCAACAATAAAGAAAATAAGCTTATTACTTCCTACGTGTGTCTCCTGGGCTTTGTTTTATAAAATAACTTTTATTGCATTTTTATTGTAGATATACACATGTTTATTGTTTTAAAATAGAAACTTCTTATCAGCAATAGGAAGAAAATACAAAACACACATATTCCTATCATATAAAAATTTATTATCATATTATCATTTGCTGTTACCATCTTTTTAATATATCTTGTTCCTTTTTTTTCTCCTCTGAAACTCTGTGGTAGTCTCCATACTACACACACACACACACACACACACACACACACACACACACACACACACATACACGTACATACTGGTGTTTTGAGACAGGGTTTCTCTGTGTAACCCTGGCTGTCCTGGAACTTGCTCTGTAGACCAGGCTGCACTTGAACTCTGCCTGCCTCTGCCTTCTGAGTGCTGAGATTAAAGGTATATATCACCAATATCCAGCTCCACACTGTATTTTTGTATATTAAAATCAGAAAGCATATATAAAATACTCTGTGTCATCAAATATTGTCATTAAAATAATTTTAAGGTAGCATAGATCCCATTATATGAATATAACACACTCACTTTGCTTTAATATTATTCTTGTTGCTAGATTGAAAAGGTCCTTCAGCAGGGGGAGATTGCAGACTGTGCAGAACCCTACATGGTCATCAAAGAAAGTGATGGTGGAAAGGTATGGTCATCTAAGTACTGGTGCCATCTTAGGATGAACAAATTTCCAAAAGTGTTCCTCAAAATAGTTAATGGCGGTATACTATTATCTTTTCCATTTGAAACACTAGTAAGTTGTATTTTCATCAAAGAGGAAAGAGAAACCAGTTACTGACCTGACAATAATTTTTTAAAGAAATATATGACTGAACACACTAATGATGCTGCATGCCAGTGTGGACTCAAGCTCAGACTGGGCTACACCTGTTGCCTTGGTTCCGAGGCTCTGGCTGCACACAGATTGGGAGCACTGCCAAGGCCCCACAAGAAGAAAAGGACAAGAGTTCCCCTGGTTTTCCTCAACAGCACAGGGTATTGTCTTGTTATCATGCACAGATTAGCAGATGGGGACCAGCTACAGCTTCTGCTCATCATAAATTAATTAGTACACAATAGGTCATAAAGCCAGGAATAGGACTTTTCCCCAGTACCAATTTGCAAAAGTTCCCAGGATGGTTTTTTTAA